TTTAGTACAAAGTCGTCAGCGTAGAGGTGGCACGAACAAGATGTAAGAGCTGAGGGCAAATCATTGATATATAAAGAAAATAATAGCGGTCCACATAGAGTACCCTGAGGAACACCCGAACAACGATCAAGCCAACCAGAGGTCAAACCGCCCCGCATCTTAACCGCCTGTGAACGCCCAGAAAGAAAAGACTTGATCCAGCCGCAAGCAGAATCGGAAAAACCAAGAGAAAGGAGCTTTATTACTAGCACATCAATGTTGAGCTCATCGAAAGCGCACCTAAAGTCCACGGATACTAGTAACGTGACGTGACCCACATCTATGGACGCCCTAATTTCATCAACAAGATTGATCAGTGCAGTATGAATACTGTGGTGCTTACGGAAACCCGACTGCTGGGGGCACAGCAGTCGGTTAGACTCCACGAAAGCAGACATCTGCCTGAGTGCCACCGCCTCGAGAAGAGGGAGAGAGAGAGAGAGAGAGAGAGAGAGCGCGATAGCAGACGATCAATAGCTCTCTCTGTCTCACTCACGCTTACAGCTAGTGCCAACATGCCTTTTTCATTTTTTTATTAATATTTTGGGCTTGTCCAACACAAAATAAAAAGTGCTTAGTGATTAAAAATGTTTGCCCTACACGATGGTATTTTAACTTTTTTTATATGTTACACCGTTACACGATATAAACAAAGCGAACTTTCAAACCCGATTTTAATATTATTAAACCATTTAAACATAGTTATAACTATTTTATTTGCAATCTGCGGGCTGAATAACATATACCTAATATGAAAAACGCCCTATTATCAATCAATTTTCTAGTTTAGTATTTTTATGGTTGGTATCCATAAGTAATGAGAACAGAAATCAAATCAGCAACTGCGTAGCACAATCGATAAGATCCCCGACTACTGTTTCAAAGGATTTGGGTTCAATTCTTAAAGTCAATAAAATTTGAAAAAATTTTTAAACACATATGTTATATGTAATACATATATACATACATGCGTAAATGCTATACATACAATACATGTGTTATTTAACTATACATATACTATATAGCTGTACACTGTCCAAAAAGCCACATATGTACACGACAATATAGTTGTAGTTACCGTATAAACATATACGGATATAGACG